ATCATCATCATATTCGTAATCAGCGACCCCGACAACCCCCGAGTAACAACTTTCATGTAAATTGGATCAATTTTTAAAAAAGTCATCCGCCATATTGGATCCGCCATTTTGAATTTTAAAAAACTGACATCATATTCGTAATCAGATACCCCGAAAACCCCCGAGTAACAAATTTCAGGTAATTTGGATCAATTTTTAAAAAAAGTCGTCCGCCATATTGGATCCGCCATTTTGAATTTTGAAAAACTGACATCATATTCGTAATCAGCGACCCCGAAAACCCTTGAGTAATAGATTTTAGGCGATTTTAGACATTTTTTAAATAAAAATGCATTGTATTGTCCATGGCAAAGATTTTAAAAAATTTGCTAAAAGTGTTGTCTTTAAAAATTTATAACATTTTTATAATTTATTGAATTTAAAAACAGAAACGTGTGTCGCATTCTGCATAGCGTTGACTTTTAAGAAATCATTTTATTTTTAATTTTCAGCTAGTTTTGACTTTTTTACATCAATTTTTATCATGGCAAAGATTTTCTGTTTTCCGGCAGTCAGAGCAAAGTCTGAAATGGCAAAGATCTTTGCCATCGGCAGTCAAGGGGTTAAATGTCCCGAAGAAATAAATGTTTATAGCGCGAAACTTTCCTGAACATTTAAATGAAATCTTCGCCTAATTATAATTATAATTAGGCGAAAATATCATTTGGATGTTCAGGAAATTTTTACACTTAACATTTATTTAATCGGGACATTTAAATCTTCACACAATTTTCACTAAACTTATCAGTTCAATATGCTGAATATTGCAAGTAAATATTTAATAAATTGTGCTGTGGGGGTACATTATAAAATAATACTATATTTTTCTTGTAATCTTATTGTAGTACAGTCAATCTAGCCTGAAAAAGCCGTTGTTTTGGAAAAAAATACCTTACTCGAGATTATATCATAAATCGTTAGTGGCACATGTGACTAGCTTAAAATCAAAAAGTTGGGACACCCCCCCCCCCTTGGGGAGGGGGGAGAAACTCAAAATTTCTTCGGATTTGATTTTGTACGAAAATTATAAGTAGTACTAAATAATTTCTTAAATAAAAGTGGTAGAGAACAAATTTCTCTACACTTTATCTCATTAGGTCCCTACTGTACAACTTAATGTGCGAAAGCTAAAGGGCGCTAAAATTGCAAAGAATCAGTTTCTCCCTTTTTTCGTATCAAAAAACCATTTTTGCGTTTTGGTGTAAATAGAAAAGTTGTTGAGCTTAAAAAACCTACAAAATGCATATACATAATTTTTTCTACGTTACACTCTTTCGGAGATACAGTCTATTTATTAACTGTTACGTATAGGTAATTCATATCTCTGGTTAAAAAACCGGACAGATTTCGGACTAATCCGAAATTTGTCCGAAACAGTGCGGTTTATGGTCAGGTTTTTGTCACCCGAAATTAATCCGGATAAATCCGAACTCTATACGGTTTGTGAACAACTAGTAAATCCGGAGTTTGTCGGATGAAGTCCGACATTAATCAGTTAATTTTAACTAGTGAATCCGGAATTAGTCCGAAACAGTCAAAAATTAGACCGGACAATTTAGTGAATGTTAATAAAAAAAATAATTATTATTACACATATTAATTAGCATTACATATTTTCGATATACCTATCGCAATTTTATTTACATTAACTTAAAATTTCTAACGCTTGGGGATTCGAACCTACGCCTATCTAACATTATAACGCGCACTGAAATCGAATACACTGACCACTATACCACGCTCGCATAGGATTTCAAATTCATAATAGAATTTATGAAGTGCCACGAAAAGAAATTACAAAAAACTAACACATCAGTGTTAATTATAATATTAGAAAAAGATAACTAATAATACTAGTAAATTTGTAAAAACAAATTGACTGCAGAAGTAAATATTTTATCTATCATAAGTAAATACCCTGAACAAAAAGTCGGACCGATTTCGGACTAATCCGGAATTTGTCCGCATCAGTACGGTTTATTGTGGAGTTTTTTCACCATGAATTAAGTTTGCAATCATTACCGTATTTATAACTATTGAATCCGTTTTTAGGCCGGTTTAGTCTGCAGTTAGTCAGATCATATGCAACTAGTAAATGCAGAAGTAATCCGATTGGTTTAACCAGTGAATCCGAAACAGTCTGCTTATGGTCAGGTTTTTGTCACTCAGAATTAGCCTGGATAAATCCAAACTCAATACGGTTTTTGTATAACCAGTGAATCCGGAATTAGTCCGATCTAGTCCGAAGTTAGTCTGATAATACGCAACTTGCAAATGTGAAATTAGTCTGATTAAGTCCGGCATTAATCTGGTTATGGTCAGGTTTATGCCATACGAATATATATTTATAGTTTAAATTTATCTGAATTTAATACAAATTGTTTTTAATATACAAATTCAATATTATACCAAAATATTTGCGTACAGATTTTGGATTGTTCCATACTTGTTTCGGATTAAATCTTTCAACTGGATTCCTTTCGGATTATTGCCGACTGATTTCGTATTCTTTACATATTGATTTCGCATTATTCCGTATTTATTTTAGATGAATTTTTCAACGGACATAATTTCGGATTGTTGCGTAATAATTACGGACTTAATTCATAGACATTCATGATTACTCCAGACTGATTTAGGATTCATAATTTCGCTCGGATTAACGTTAGATTAATGCGGATCATTTTCGGATATTTTTCGTATAATTATCGTCCTAATACACAATAATATGTCCGGATTTAATCCAGATTGGTCCGAAATTTTTACCAGGGATATAATATGATTCGGGTGGCCGACTATTTCCGGATTCTTAGCATACATATTTCGGATTGTTTCGTATTTGTTTCGGAATATGATTTTACCACACTAATTCCGAATTGAAGCGGACTAATATCGGATTTCTTGCTTACAGAGTTCGGATTGCTTCGGACATTTTACGGATTAAGTTTTTTTAACTAGATTAAATTCGGATTGTTGCGGACTAATTACGGACTGAATTCGTAGACATTCAGGATTACTCCGGAGTGTTTTCGGATTCAGGTTTTCGTTCGGATTAATATCAGAATAACGCGGATCATTTTCGGACCTTTTTCGTACAATTTTCGGACTAATCAGTAATAATCTGTCCGTATTTAATCCGGAATTAGTCCAAAATTTTTACCAGGGATAACACAGGACCACAAAATTTTTTTAAAAGTAATATTGACTGGGCCATATTTTCTAAATGTTTTTTGGGTCGCTAAATTCGAATCCAAACTCAACTTTAACGCAATTGAAAATTATTATATAATGTTAAACAATAAAAAAAACTCGTCAATATTCAAAATTAAAGATGGCGGATTTGAAAAAGCGTCAATTTTTTTAAAATTTACCCAATTCGCCTGAAACTTGTTACTCGGGGGTTTTTGGGGTTGTTAAATACGAATTTCACCTTAGTTTTCAAAAATTCAAAATTCAAAATTTCAAGTAAATCTGATAATTTTTAAAAAAAATTCGTCAGCCATATTGGATCCGCCATTTTGAAGAAACTGAACGTGATGGCGGAAAACTGAGTTTGGATTCGAATTTAGTGACCCAAAAAACATTTAGAAAACATGGCCCAGTCAATATTTCCTTTAAAATAATTTTGCGGTCCTGTGTTATATGGATTGCCTATATGTAACAGTTAATAAATAGACTATATATTCTCCGAAAGAGTGCAACGTAGAAAAAAATTATGTATATGAATTTTGTAGGTTTTTTTAAGCTCTACAACTTTTCTATTTACACGAAAACGCAAAAATGGTTTTTTTGATACGAAAAAAGGGAAAAACTGATTCTTTGCAATTTTGGCGCCCTCTAGCTTTCGCACATTAAGTTGTACAGTAGGGACCTAATGAGATAAAGTGGAGAGAAATTTGTTCTCTACAACTTTTATTTGAGAAAGTTTTTAGTACGACTTACAGTTTTCGTACAAAATAAAATCCAAAGAAATTTTGAGTTTCTCCCCCCTCCCCAAGGGGGCGTGTCCCAACTTTTTGATTTTAAGCTAGTCACATGTGCCACTAACGATTTATGAAGTAATCTCGAGTAAGGTATTTTTTTCCAAAAAAAATGCCAGATTGACTGTACTATTGTGAGAATATATGTATATGAATTTCATCTCAATAGGTTTATATATGAGGTTCCGGATCTTCAAAGGGCACTTTCACCATGTAAAGTCTATGCGGAAAGTGCCCTTTTAAGATCCGGAGCCTCATATGTAGTATTTAAAAGGAGAGATATTGTTATTTAATCGATTTCTTTCTTTCCTAATTTGTATTTATTTCTTTTAATCAATCATATTCCTTCCCCATATATTTTTTATAAAAAAGGAGTTTAATTTCGGTGAGTGTAACTCGCACTTGTCAGATTTTTGTTTTATTTAAGTTTTGAAAATCATGCCACAAAATTGTTCCCGTTTCTTGGGAATTTCCTGATAATGATTCACGGTCATTTTCAGGGACTGAAATGCGTGGGTTTTACGAGCGCCTTCATCAATTAGTAATTTTTTTAAAAATAAAAAAATGTTTAATACATCGCTTTAATCGTCTAAGAATAGCAGTACATACAATGCAGCTTTTGCGCGCGTAACATTGCTTTTATATTTATTTCGTGATGTTTTTAAAACAGAAGAAGAAGAAGAAAAAGGAGGAGGAGGAGGAATTCAAGAATTTGTAGATTCCTTACTATAATTAGTATAAGAATAAGTGGAGGCACTTTCTTCATGGTCATAATTGTATAATATCAGAATTAGTTTTTCTCAAGTGACTTCTTAGGATCTTTATAGATAAGAGTCTCTTACTTAATCTTCAGATTAAACCCCCGCATCGTTTGTGTGCGAAGGGAAGACCATACGTATATGTATATATAGATTCGGACTCCCTACTCTTGTGTCTGGGGCTAAACGCGAGGGTCCGCAAACTATTCTTGGAGTTGGAGAACTTCAGTCAGACCTGCTTTCGTGTTTGCAACGACATTGACGGTTTACTTTTTAAGTAACCACCAATCTGTATCTTAAGTTCGATAATAAACGCGAGCGTTACTGCTGGAAAAGTCACTCCGATGGATGACCGGCAAAAAATTTAGTGTGCAGAAGTGAAAAGTTAAGACTGTTAGGTGATATTGTGATTTAACACCGAGATTGGAATTTTCCAAAAAAAGGTAGTTCTAGTGTTTTAAATGTTTAAAAGAAGTGTGAATTTCGAGTCATCACACAAATTACAAAGTCTTGGAATTTTAGTAATTTTTTCATTTCATCTTTTCATGATTAAAGTTCCTATTCAATAATAATGAGTTTTTGTATTTTTTATAGTTAAACTATTTGTTATTTTGTATACATTAACTTTTAATTACTATTTTTTACATTTCGATCTTATTTCCTACTGTTACTAATTTGCATACTTTTTTGAAATTGAAAATTAAATTTTTAATTAATTCAATTAATATTGTGATTATTTTCAAAAAAGCAATAGTATTAAGCTTGTTAAATATAAAAGAACAATTCTCTTTTTTCTTCAACCTTTCATACCATGCTTCAACAAGCAATATTAGATTTTTGAAAATTGTATATGATTTGAAACTTAATAACTTTAATAACCAAAAGTTAGAAAAAATTGAAACAAAAACAAAATCTATAATCTGAGATATTAAAAACTCTTCTGGATATCAATTTCAAAAGTGTGTTTTAAAATTTAAACTTCAACGAATGTATCAAGAAAGAAGAGTTTAGAAAAACTTTTAAAAATACATTGGCAATCGGCCGTAACCTGAGTCATAATTCTTAAGATTCTTCCTAAACTTCAGTTCGAGGGTTACAAAATTTACCAATAACATTTAATCTTCTACAAATTTAGACTTGGGATTTTTACAAGGAAAATTAAGCTATTTTTAAGTATAGTTTCACATTATCTCAATAAAAAATACTTTGAAAATTTTTCACTGATGAAGAAACTTAAAATTTGAAAATATATATTTAGAAGAAAATTAATATTATAATTATTAATAAATATTAACGATTAACATCTAGTTAATTAAATTTCAATGTCTGCGGATTCATTCGTTTTTTGCATATACATACTTTTCGCGAGATTCTTGTTTATTTCGATCTTCTCTTTTTTGTTGCGTATCATCATTATTATTTCACAATAAAGTACATTAAAATTGACGCATCTTATTTCACTTGCCAAACTTCTATTTCCTGATGGTATTAAGACTTTTTAAAATACTTAATCATTATATAAATATTTAAATAATTGAAAAACTAATGCAAAGACAGTTTAGCAGTCCGCGTGTCTTAAATTCTATGTCCATTCATAAAATGAATCAATAAACACTGTGATTTAAATTTATTCAGTTAATTATTAAATTAAAGCATCCAAAATTATATTTTCTTCTGTATCAAATTTTATTGTTTAGAATCTTACAATAGATCGATTTATTTGATCAATACCCTTAATTTAATTAAGGGTATTATGATATCTTGAAAAATAAATAAATAAATAAAAATAAATTAAAGTTTTTTTAAAAAAATTGATAAAATTCATCTAAAATTCAATCATTTTTATAAATAATTAAATTTCAACATGAATTCAATTAATTTAGAATAGCATTTTCAAAAAAATCAATTATTTAACAAAATTTTTATACGATTCTTCACAATAATTCAATTACTTCCACTGATAATAACTTTTTTAATGGAAATTCAATTTTTAAACAAATTTTTGATAAAATTTTAAGCAAGAATTCAATTATTTTCATAAATAATAAAACTCGTAGAATTTCAATTATTTTTAATACTATTTTAAATTAATTAATCGAAAAATTAAATAATTTTCACAAATAAAGTTATCCACAAGAATTCAATAATTTAAAATGAAATCTTCATAATATTTATTATATTTCAGAAAAATTAATTATTTAAAACAATTATAAAATTATTATGATGAAGAATTCAATTATTTTCAAATATAACAAAATTTTTTCTCATAAATGAATTTTTTTTTAAACATTTTAATAAAATTTTTCGCAATAATTCAATTATTTTCATAAATAATCAAATTCTTCTCATGAATTCAATTATTTTTGAAAATTTTAATAAAATTCTTAGCAACTATTCAATTATTTTCATAAATAATAAAATTCATAGCAGGATTTCAATTATTTTGAATACAATTTTATAGGAATTGATCAAAAAATGTAATTATTCTTAAAAATTTGATTTCAATTCCTCAAAAAAATAAATTATTTAAAAAAATGTTTTCTAAAAATTCTTTGAAAGAATTCAATTATTTACAAAAATATTAAAATTTTTCACAGGAATTCAATTATTTTGAAATATATTAATAAAATTGTTCGAAAGAAATCAATTATTTTAAATACAATTTTAATTAATTTTTTTTAAAAATAATTCAATTATTCTTTTAGATTTTAATAAATTTCTTCCCGAGAAATCAATTATTTACATAAATAATAAATTCTTCGAAAGAATTCAATTATGTCGATAAATAACAAAATTATTTCAAGAAATTCAATTATTTTGAGGCATTTTAATAAAATTCTTTGCAAAATTCAATTTTTTTCATTATTGACAATATTCATCAGAAGAATTCAATTATTTTTAAAAGTAATAAATTTTTTTTTGGAAATTCAATTATTTTTAAAAATTCTAATAAAATCGTTAGCAAGAATTCAATATTTTCATAATTAATAAAATGCTTTTTATGAATTCAATTATTTTCAAAAAATTTAATAAAGTACCACACAGACATTCAATTATTATCAAAAATTTTAATAGAATTCTTTGTAAAATTCAATTGTTTTTAAAAATTTTTCACAATTCAATGATTTTCAATAGGGATCTACTATCTTCATAAAATTTCCAAACAGAATTCAATTATTTAAATTTTTGTCAGTTTTGTGAAGTGTCTAAAACGAGTTTTTCTAGTCGTCAAATTTCATTTTTCGATAGCTACTTTTTTAACTACTTTTTTTAGTTTGAAAGCTACTTTTTGCTACATTTTTAAAATTAATCGTCGGGTGCGAAGTCTGTGAATGTAATTTTGTTTAATTATAATTTAATTAAGATTTTAAATATTGTAAATTTTATAAGTTTAATTAGGGGCTGATGCTACGAATGTGGTTTATTGTAATAATTATGCGAGTAAAAGTGGGTGAAAAATGTTCCGAGTAAAAATGATTCTAAAACACTGATCAATTCGTTTTTCAGTTATTGCTATTAATAAATAATTATTTTAACTAGGTATTAATAAAATAATATTAATTTAGTCTGATTTATTTAATGTATGAAATTTTTTCAAAAAAGTATTAGTGTCTCTTCTATACAGACAAATTAATCAGAGATTATATTTATTCGCATACTTTAAAGGAGTTATCACTGTAGAAATATAACCATACTTGTACATGAAACGAAGAATGAGTCAGTTAAACTTGTTGGATTCGCTGCATTCAACTTCTTTAACTGTCATTGAAATCAGATCAATAGACCCAAGTTTTGCTGTCACAACAAAAAATTCTCATAACTATTTGCCTGAAAAGACTTGCATAACGAAATGTTTTTACTACTAAAATTAAAATAAATTTTACGTTTTAAAAATACACACTCTTTAAAAACTAAAGTCAATGTATTATTGGATTCTTTTAATTTTGCCTTGAATGACAAATCAAAATGATCAGTATAAAAACCTGTTTCTAAGATGAGAAATAATGGTTAAAAAGAATTTAATTTTACCTATAGAAACTGCAGGTGCTGGAGTTTAAATATTTAGAAAAAAATCTATTTTTGTTTGTTATTTTCTAAGAACTATTATTTCGAATAATTATCTTGGAAGAAGATTTAATGTCAATAGCCTTTCGTTATCCGGACGACTATGAATATCTATTTATAATTATTTATTTATAGTCTACTTGAAAGTACGTGTACATTCGCAGAACAGTTTCATTGAATACGAGCGTAAACCTTGACCTACCTCAATTCGATGTAGCCTTGTCACATGGTAACGTTGTATTCGTGGGCAAAACACTGAAATTTTGTAAAAGAATTTTCAATCTAATCTTCTTTAGAATAAAAAAATAGGTAATTAAAGATCAACAATTTGTATCGTGATATAAATAAATAAAAAAAATGTGAAAAAAACTCTAAATCTAATTCGCAGAGGTGTGGAATTCCACTGATGGTTTTTAGTGGAATTTTACTAATTCATAGCGCAAATTTGAATTATTGCTAAATTCCATCTACGAGTTCATGGACATTTTTGTAAACAAGATGAATTAAATCTTCATTTTTTTGATCCCTTGTGGGAAAAACAAGAAATTTTCCATTTCAGCAGAAATTAAAACCGTGAAGATGTACATGAACCATCAGTTCATGATAAGATATTTCTTAAAAGCTGCAAATTTTATAAAAATATTTTGGTTAAAAATTGAACATATATCTCATTGAAATAAACTTTTCAATGTCCAAAAACTCTGAATCACCATGAAAACGACCAATATTTACATTATATTACGACACGAAGGTCACTGCGCCGGGTATTGCAAGACAGTGACATCACCGGTCTTAGTCCAATTCCATTTTAAGGCAAACCACTATCCGGGGTACTCTGCCCCCCTGCAAAGTTTTTTCTTTGAAACACTCTGATCCAGACTCCTCTCCAATGCTTTTCTTTTGCGCAACCGTACGAAGAAATTTGCGACAATTACTACTATGATTTTTCAAAATTAACGCATAAATTTCAGTAAAAAACATGAGTAACAATATTGAATTGTTTGGGATTTTTATGAAAATAGTAGATGTTGAAAATCATTGAATTGCGAAAAGTTTTTAAAAATAATTAAATTTTACAAAGAATATTTCTTTTCAAATATTTGACAATAATTAAATGTCTGTGTGGTATTTTATTAATTTTAAAAAAAATAATTGAATTCATAAAAAGCATTTTATTATTTATGAAAATAATTGAATACTTGCTAACGATTTTATTAGAATGTTTTAAAATAATTGAATTTCCAAGAAAAAATTTATTACTTTTGAAAATAATTGAATTCTTGTGATGAATATTGTTATTTATAAAAATAATTGAATTTGGAAAGAATTTTATTAAAATGCTTCAAAAGAATTGAATTTTCGGGAAGAATTTTGTTAT